CTACCTGTTGCCTAATCTCTCCCTTCTGCAGGGTAAGGAACAAAGTGGCTCCTTGTTCCTGAAAATTCTTTTTTTTTTAAAAATTTTTCTTTTTATTGTTAGTTTCAGGTGTACAGAACAATACAATAGTTACCCTTTTCACCCTCACCAGGTAACAACCTCCCTCCCCCCATCTATTGCCCTCCCACCCCCGATATCATGCTTATCTATTACAATTCTGAAAATTCTTTATGCTGGATATCATCTTGAGAATTTGCCTTTTTCAAGTTGTCTGAACCAGATGGGGCCTTTTGTGCAGTGAAATACGGCCTAAGTTTTTCTTCTGTTAGATGTTGTCATCTTTCTGGATCTTGGTGTCCTTATCCAAAGTACCTCCCAGCTCTGAACCACTGTGGTGTCTGCCAATGATTTTAGAATTTAGAATCTTGGTTCTTGTTTTTTCCTGATCCCATTGGGAATCTCAACTTAATTTAAAAACCAGGTGCAGTGGCTTTTTGGGTACTCTTCCAGGACAGGTGCTCCCCTGTAATCTGCTGACCTAGGTCAATGTATTGTAATTTACTAGCTTTGCAGGAAGTGTTGGGTCGTTGGGAAAGTCATGACGCATTTTTGCATTGAAAAACAGAAAAATACGTTATGACTTTCCCGATGACCCAATAGTTTGGGGAACGGCTTTAACTCTCAGTGGCCAGAAGGGTATAGCTCATTATTTAAAACTTGTTGTAAATATGCATTAGAATATCAGTTACTTTAATCAGGCACTAATAAGTGACTCAAATCAACCAAAGGGACAAAAGTAGCTTCTCATTTTCAAGGAGTTTTAACAGTTTACTCTCAAGTAGGAAACAACATAGATACTATGGGTTTTTCTTTGGCAGCACTACTAATTCCTAGTGGGGTTCATCTCGCTTTGCCTTGAGAAAACTTATTTTGGTTTTATTCTGTCTCACATGTTCCCCATATATTGGGAAGTCCCAGTGCTCGGCATATTTTATCATTTGTGGCCTCTTGTAGTCAATTTGGTTACCCAAAAACTACCCTTTATTTGTATCTCAAACCTAGATTACTCTCTGACCAGAAGGGTGTGAAATAAATATATGCCTATATAAATAAATATGTACATCTATACATATCTAGACTAACACAGCATTTTTACCCTTGGTTCATCTTTTCCTGCTGCTCTTACTATTTAAGGAACCAGCACCTTGCTGAGCTAGGCAGCCAGCCCTTAGGAATCCCTACACTTTAGCCATTTCCTGGGTACTTTACTGGGATCCTATTTTGGGCTGGTCTGCACTGTGCCTTGGTGTAAGTTGCTGTGTTCCGGAACTTCTGGAGGGCTTGTGACATGCTACAATAGGCAGTTCTAGGCTGAAGAGGTTTCTGGGAACAGCTGCAGGTTCTATTTCAATTCTTGACCTATTGCTGACATTTGAATAAATAAAGCACTTCCCTCTGCCAGGCTGCCAAAGACCTGCACCTGTTACTCTCACTCAATCTTCCATTCACTCAGCTGAGCAGGTAAACCTGTTTCCTTTCTTAGTCTACAGGAGCCTTTTAAAAACCATTGTCTTCTCCACTATAAATCACAATGTGGGGAATGTGGATAGTGTGTGTTCGGGCAGTATTTGCCTTTAAATTCAGTGGTTTCTTGAAGACCCTTGTGTAGGCATCCTGTCTTGCTGCTGCTCCTAGGAAACAAGTGGGTAAGGGCTGCAATAAAGGGAAGGGCAAAGGAGGAGCGGTCCTGAAATCACACATCTTTAGCAGACATTGAACAGTGAAGGGACAGAGTAGATGACCCAGTCACACAGACACATGAGGTGAATACTCTGCAGACATAGATGTATATCCTAGATGAACACGGACATTGTGGGTTCTGTATAGTGTTCCCAATCATGCATGTGTCATTTACATCCCACTGTTGAGTTTAGAGTTAGGGTGATGATGAGAGTTAGGGTGAGCCACAATCTGATAACAAACAGCATGAGGGTAAGCTTTGGGTTGGATTGCAGCAGATCTTTCATAGTCTTTGTGTGCACCCTGGAGAACTCCAGAAGCAAGACATCTTCATTATTGGGTCCTGTCTATCAGTATAGTTTTATTTGGGTGTCTGGAGGCAAAGGCTGTGACTTGGGAATCTGGCAAGGGGAGAACTCAGGGTTGGAATAAGTACTAAAATGCTTCCCAGGGTATCATCAGCAGCCTTCCATGTTTATTCAGGGGTAGACATTTCCATGTCCTTACTCTTGCCCTGCCATAAGCCTGTGCCCATGAGAACTCTAGCCTTTCATTTAGAGAAAGGACATAGAACCAAGATGTTTGAAGAGCAACTTTCCTTACCTGCTTGGTTTCCATGACTGCCTCTCTCTGAATGAATTCCCCAATTATGTGTGTTTAATGCTATCCTCTTCTTAGTTCCAGCTAGATAAGCAATCCATCATCTCAAATCCCAAATGGCCAAAGCTGAATTTATAACTTCTTTCAAATCTACTTCTCTTACTGTCTTGCCTTATATCTATGGATGGAACCCCATCCTTCCTAGTCACCCAGGCTCAAATCATCAGCCGTCCTTGGGTATAAGCAAAAAGGAGTCAAGCAGTCTAACAATATTCATTCTAATTTGGTGATATATTTTGTATCAACTACTTCCATTCCATTCCATTCCATTCCATTCCATTCCATTCCATTCTTTCTCTAGATTAGGATGTCGTAGTCTTGGCACTTCTGATATTTTGCCTGGATGATTCATTGTTGCTGTGGGCTGCCCTGTGCATCGTAGGATGTTTAGCAGCATCTCTGGTCTCTACCCACTAGATGCCAGTAGCATTCTTCCCGGTTGTGACAATGTATAATGTCTTCAGACATTGTCAAATGTCCCCTGGGATAGGGGATACGAAGTGTCAAGGATGAGGCTTAGGAGGTCTGGCTTGGGCAACTGCATATATGTAGTGTCACTCCCTGAGATGGAAAACACTGGGAGGGGACCAGATTTTAGGGGAATATTTTAAGTTTTGTTTTGGATATGTTGAGCTTAAAATCACTTTGAAGCCTAGTCCAGAGATATAAATTGGGTGAATAGGTAATAACTGAAGCTGTGAATGTTGATGAAATTGCTTAGGGAGAGAATGTAGTGAGTAGAGGGGAAGGCCTAGGACCAAGCTGTGAGGAACTCTAACACTGAATACCTAGTTGAAGAAGGATGAGCTTGCAAAGCAGGAAGGAAAGAGTCACCAGGGAGGCAGGATAAAAACCTGGATGGTACCATCTCATAGAAGGCAAAACGAAAGAGTGTTTCAAAACGGAGAGAGTAATCAATAAAATGCTGCTGAGAGTTCAAGAAGATGAGGGCTGAAAACATGTTAGTCATATTTAGTAATGTGGAGGTCAGTGTTTTTCCATCCTTTCTTTGACACTTACTCATGCCTGTTTGACAAAGAAGATGTGAAGTGCTTAGGTAGGAGTGCATGGAAATAAAGTCAGGGCTGAAGTCATTTGCTTACTTATTTATTCACGTGTTCATATCACTCATGTCCAAGGTATCTACTTATACACCCAGCCTATGTTCCAGGAAATATGCAATTTTTTCATAATAGAGACTTCTGAATCCAGGAATCTGGATGGTTTTCTATTTTTAAAATTTTTATGGGTCTTTTATCAAATGTGTACATTTACCACCACATTGATCCAGAAAAGGTGCTTCTAGTTCCTAATAAAAACTTTGCTAAGATTTATGGGGCAAAACTCTTGCTCCAGGTTAAATATTGCCCTACTTACCTCAACCCTGGTGGAAACTCACACAGAAGAAACTGAGCCTGAGGAATCAAGATTAGTGACTTTATTGTCTTTACGGAAATATACATACATATAAAGGAATAGGAGCGTAACGAGTTGCCTATAACTGTAACTTCCCAGTAATTTGGACTCCGCTGCTATGAATTTATGATTACTCTAAGCTCTGGAGGGCTGAGGCTCCTCTTTGGTTAATTATGGGAAAAGAGCTTATTAAGCAAATGACTAATGTAAGAAGGCTGCAGTAGGGATACTTCACCTTTTCAAAGGAGGAAGAGTATTTACATATCAACAGCAGACATGTTAGTTAGATATGCTTTTGAAATTCAGGTCCAATGACTCAACTGAGAGTAGTAACATGGGTCCATGTCTCTAAGATACTTTCTCTGATTCAGATTTTTTTGAGTTCATTTAGATGAGTCCAAAGTTGTTAGGCTTGATTAGCCATGATCCAAGTCCAAGATGCTCAATGAACTCTATCTAGTGTGTGTTCAGCTTCATTTGATAGTCCCTGGTCTGAACAGTTGCCCCCCACCCCTCCAGTCTTAGAACTCTTTCCACATCTCCCTCCATGTCCCCGGCCCTTTCACGATGACACTGCTCTTTTCTGCAGATGAAGAATAGGAGCAACCGTATCCTGCAGAGCGACTACATGAACATGACCCCCCGGAGGCCAGGGCTCACCCGCAAGCACTACCAGCCCTACGCTCCAGCGCGCGACTTCGCGGCCTACCGCTCCTGACATGGACGCCTATCCAGATGCGAGCCGGCTGGCACCACTTCACCTGCTCAACACCACTGCTCTGGATAGGAAAATGACCATCTCGTCTTCAGCCGGCCACCTCAGGCCCCTGCTAGGCCGCCGATGCCAATTTTTCTTGAACAGCTAGACCAAATAACATCATTTTGAGACTCTGAAATGAAGTTAAAGAATATTACTGTGACATGCTAAATCTTGCATTTCCCTGGCCCAAAATCAGATTTAGTATGTATTTATTGACTTGATTGAGAGGTTAGGATAGAAAATTAAAAGTGAGTGAATTTTGTTTGCCTTAAAAATCTGCTGCCAATTTTACTCCTTTCTCACTCACCTGAACGTTGCAGTTAAGTGAAGCGTGATATCAAAGGACTTTTGAAGCAGAGAAGAAATCAGTCAAAAAATCATTCTCCTTGGTTAAATGGGGATTTAGAGTGAGGATACATTAGAGTTGGGGGGGTGGGTGGGTAGGGAGAATTAAACATTTTTAAAACCATTAAAACACTGTCTCTTATGAAACAGCCACTTAGTTTCTATTTAGCGCTGTTTTCCTTTTAGTTCAGAAAGATGTAGACATTGTCTTTGATGAATTCTGGTCATATTTAGTCATTTTGACCAATGGAATACCTTCAAAGCAATGCAAAGCAAACTGGTTTGCTTTTTTTACTACCTGTGATAGGAATTCAATGTAGTCTTCATGATGTGATTTCAAAAAAAGTAAGGAAGTCTTCTCACCAAGAAAGAACATGTCTGGAAATAAGGCCCCTTGATGTCAAAATTATTTCAGTGCTATGAAGGATTATTTGTTTAGCAGCTCATTCCAGTCAAATCCTATAGGGGGCTTTTCTGTTCCATGTATTTCAGATTTGCACATTTGATCTCTTTATTGTCTGCGTGGAGATCTGAAGTGAGATGCTGAAAGCATATCCATATGGAAAATGATGATACTGTGATAAAAGGGATGCTAGCATTCATTAGGGTACAAGGGATGAGCCCCAAAAGCTTCTTCTGAAGGAGGGAGAATGGAAGGGAATGACTGGATCCTTGTCATGTGTCAAGGGGCTGGCCAGCATTGGGTGGAAGTTTTCCAGAAGACAGCAGGTAGAAAAAGCCCTGGTGAAAGCTTTCCTTAGAGGGACTTCATGGGCTTAGGGCTCAGAGCTCCAGAACTTTGTGGGTTCAGCTGGCTGTTTACCCTGGAGGTCTATCGACATGGAAAAGTGTTTTGGAGTGTGTCTTTTGAGACAGCATCAAAGTTCTCAAGATACCTTGCAAGGTTTGACCCTAGAATGACTATGGACATTTTTCTACCTCCAGTTTGGGTCAACTGGAGTATGCCTGGGGGCCTTGAAGAATGGCTCTACTGCTGCCTTTGCGATCGTTCAGTGCAGGCATTTATTCAGATGTTACAGGAGTCTAGGTTTTAGAGGCAGATAGACCCCATTCTAGTCCCATTGCTAGTTGGCTTCAGGCAAGTCACTGCCTTTCTAAGACTCTGATTCTTCAACTATAAAATGGAGATAACGACCACAGTTTTCTGTCACTATACTGTAATCTACATGAGGACATGGTACAAGTGTGTATTTTTTTTTGCTTGTCCCTGGCACTTAGTATTATGACTGACATGCCATGTTAGGTATTATTATTGTTGCCAGATAGATAAATTATGTATAAAAATTAAATTGGGCAATGACCTGAGAAGGGCGAGAGTATTTAACACAAGTTTAAACCCACTACCCAGGGATGAGGTGCTATAAAATTTGAGAGCTTCTTAATTTCCACCATTTTTCTGGTTCAGAATATTTTAGTTTGTAAGGAAATGTACAGCATTCCACCTTCTACTTTTATGTATATAAAGAGGTCTTCCTTATTATTATTATTTTTTTGTAATGTGAGGAGCGATAAGACTACTATGATTCCAGACAGAAAATATTGTACTTTGGTTGATTTTTAAGTAGGCTTCTATTCCACAAATTTAGTTAATCCAATGGAGGACAAATCCAGCAGTATTTGAGTGATGAAGAACTGTTGAATTTATACTGGCACATGTGCCACATTGCCAGCCTCTTTCCACACAATTCTTTAATCCAAGTGATCAGATTGCATTTGAAAATGAGAAAGCCAGAGAATTTTTAGAAAAGGCAATGACAATAAATAAATAAATAAATATGGAAAGATTTGATCTTTGGTAACAAATGGTTTGATTTTCTGATGGGAAAAACAGGTTTATCAAAGGTGAATCACACTTTAGAGTTTTCTTACTCACTTTGAACAGAACCACAGTAGAAATGTGAATAGGGAAGTCCTTTTTCACTATTAGTGTGAACGAAGAAATGGTTTAAAAACAGTGGTTGGAGTCATGTTTTTACAGTTTCAGGTATGGTAATTATGAAGAAAACAATGTCATTTGCTGCTACTATTCTAAGAGTTTTATACTTACTAGTATTTCTATAAGTTTTTTTTATTGTGAACTCACTTAATTTGGGCTGAGCTTGCCAATTTAAAGAGACCAAGTGTACATTATGTTCTGTGTATTCAGTGATAAAATTACTGAGCTACCATGTGCCTGTTTTTCAATTTGTGTTTTAATATTTTCTTTCAGAGCAGATATGCTTCATGTTGGCAATGAAAGTGGAGAAAACTTGCTATTTAAAAAGAAGTGTGGGATAAACCCTTTTTATAAATCTCTAGTTTTAGCCTTAAAAAAAAATCCAGACTTTCAAATATTGGTTTTACTTCAAGCAAGGTATACTTCTAGTTTTTTTTTTGTTGTTGTTTGCTTGGCTTTAGTCACAATTTCTCATAAAAAGAAAGCTTTACATCTTTGAGATGTCAGGCTAGGCCTACCTGTACCTTCTGTGTGATGTGAATGCTCTGTGAGAGAGTTCAAACTGCAGCCTTAACTCTTTCAGTCCCTCAGGTTAACTAACTGAGCCACTAACCCTCATGGCTAATTTGATGGGAATGTGGGTGGTTAAACAGATGTCAGATCCCTCATCCTAGCCTTTTGCTCTGCCAGATAGGAACCACTCCAGGACTGACCCAAAAGTGTTAAATTCAACTACATGAGGAGGTTGAAGATGGTAGCAATAATGGACCTAGAACCAGGATCATCACTGCCACAGAACTATTATTAACCTAGGTCGAGGAGAGTGGCAAGGATTCTCTCAAGACTTGGACTGAGGAGTCCTGGGAATCTGCAAGGGCATTTCAAGCTCAGGAAATCTGTCTCTTATAGGTACTCATATATGCATACTTTCTGGCAGATTTCTCCTCAAACATCGCAGGCATGCTCCCCCTTCAGGACCTTTATACACACTTTTTTTTTTTTTAATCTAGAATCTTCTTCCCCAGATATCTACCTGGCTTTCTCCCTCATTTCCTTCAGGTCCTTGCTCTAGTGTCACCTTCTATCCTAGTTATATGCCCCCAACCCTATCTGCTTTCCTTGCTTGTTTTTTCTTCATAGCATTTCACCATCCCTTACACTAGATTTTTTACTTATTTATTGCTTGTTTCCCAAAACTAGAATGTAAGCTCCATGAGAGACAGAACTTTGTCTGCTTTGTTTATTGCCATGTCCCCAGTGACTAGAACAGTGCCTGGCATGCAATAAATATTTATTGACTGAATGAATAAATCTCACATGCCCTTATGAATTAATGGTCAGTCTAAATGTCCTAATCACACTCTGAAAAGAAGAAAGCCAGTGCCAGTTCTGTTTTACAATTTCCTATTAATAAGTTCAAAAATCAATTTTTTTAGTAAAACATACACACAGCCAAGTCTGGTGAAAGAACACCTGATGGATATGTTAACTTACATTTTAATTTTGTGCAGTGAGGAAAACCAATACTATTAGAAAGAATCATCTTAAAAAGTCACGCTAAGTAAGTCACAGTCAAGAGTTAAGTTGATTTCCTATCAGAGTCCCCAAGTCCCCTATTAATGGAGTATTGACTATGTTTTAAACATGCCTTTAGCCTAAGACTTATGAAAATGTTGCCTTTGTAGTTAAAAATCTCATCTGTGCTACTGAACTGCTGCTGTTTTCTATGGAGTGATTTTGTCCCAACTAATTCTATAAATGTCTTGCTTGGCTGTGATTCAAAAAGAACTCAAAGACAAGAAAGCTGAAGATAGACAATTTCAGCTTCTTCACTGTCATGCTCATGTCCTAAATGAACACTCTAATGGCTTGCAATAGTTTAAAAATAAAAGAAAAACACAACAAACAAAATTGTGGCACTTGGAACAACTTGAAAATTTAAATCAGACATATTAATCATCACACACACACACACACACACACACACACACACACACAGAGTTATCTTGTGGGTAGGGGAAGGCCCTTGAACAAAAGATATTAGAGCTGGTCTATTTGCTTCATTGCAATTTGTGCTTTGAGGGTGGCCTGAAGTCAAATAGGTAGGTGATGAGCTCATCTCCATACTTACTCTTTTCTTTGTTGAAATGGAGCTCATTAAACTTAACAAAGGTAACTAAAACTTGGAAAAGATGAGCCTATATGCCTCCTACTCCAAGAAAGACTGAACTCAGCTAATCACTCACAAGTTCGATAAGATAGATCTAAACTGGAAAGGGACAAGAGTGGTAAAAATCAGTCACTAAATAAGCCTTCTCAATAAGCACTTCTTTCTTGGGCAAATAAAAATAATGTAACCCACTTCCATAAAAAGGTTCTGGTACCTAGAAACTCAAGTTCAAAATGAAATAAAATGCAAACTGCAGGATTTCATCTAACAGACTTCCTACTATGTTCTAGCTACATAATTATGTGAATAGTATAATTGCCTGAACTCACTTTTTTTCTCTAGTCTGGTAAAACAGACTGATCACTTTTGAAGCAGTACCATTTCTCCTCTCTCGTCTTGTATGGAACAGAGATTATGGATGAGTGAGAAAAATCAAAGAAAGTTCTAGATCTGTCATGATGGGGGCCTTGATCACCACACTAGGCAGCAACAAGTGAGATGGTCTGGGAGCCCTACCAGACCTAGTTTGGTAACTTATCTGTTTCTCCAAAACTAAAAGGCACTGCCTAACTTTTGACTTTTCAACAGTGATGCTTAGAAGAAGTTTTGTTCTTCAGGAAAGAGCTGAGTGGGTGGAGCACCTTTCTCTGATTTGGTATCCCAAAAGAACGTGTTCTTTCCCTTCGAAGATTCATAGGCTCTCAGAACTTAGCAACCCAGGCCATTTTCTCAGGGTGTCTTCTCTTCATTTCAGTGTGTGGACACTGGGCTCCACACTTGAAAAATGCTTGGGATGAAATATGGGTGATTCAATAATATTTCATCTTTTTCAAGCTGACCTCATTACTGAGACCAGTCTAAAGGCCAGAATGTATATTTCTCAAACCCTGTCCTATTTACCTGCTTAAATTTGGTAAAAAATTTTGGAGTGCTGGGACTTTGAGGGGACAAA